AAAAATATATTATATATCGTTGACATTAGTTGTTTTCAATCATTTATTTTCATAAATTTCACGTAAGTATACACAACATTGGCGATTGCGATTTTTCTTTTGATGTCATTCATTTTATGATATACCCATCACTCACTATTAATCCATAATTTACATGTATATAATTGAATGTACATGTCAGGAATAATGATACATAATTTCTATAATTATAATTTCACGAATTTTATAAAAATTCGACGTAATCATATCTTGTACTGTAGGTTCTTCCAATTATATTTAACTTTTGTCAATCATTTTATCAAAAAAAGGTAGAAATAAGATTAAAAAAATGCTTTTCTTTCTATTGACTTGCACAATATTACATTGCACAAATTCGAATGTTCAAATAAACCTAAAAATTAGTAAATATTAAATTAAAACAAGTAATTCAATAATTATTATATTGTTAGAACAGATTACTTTTAAATGTTCATACAACAATCTGAAAAATAAGCAAGGATAACTTTGAACATCATTGAAGAACAGTATTTTAAAAAATCAACTAATTCAAAAAGCTAAATTTTCTTTATTACTTAAAAATGTTCCTTTAGTCGTGGAGTATAGTTGGTAATAATTTTTTGGCAGTTTTCTTCAATTTATTTGTTACACTGTGCCATGTACTTTTAATCTGACCAGTCTTATAATCCTTGACAGCAACAAAAATATAAAATCTGAATCTTAAACGTATAATGCAAGACACAAACCAGAAATATATATAAGAACGAAAAGTTCTCAAAAAATACTAGTACAAGAGTCACGAAATGACTGTAATAATTATGAAATCACAAAATGATATGTCTATATCTAACCCTTAACATTCAATTTTTATAAAGAGATTAATGAAACAAAAACGGAATAGTACGCAATAATTTAAAAACATAAATGTTGAAATGACAGCACCTATGTCCAGGAACGAATTTTACGTGCATTCGATTTTATAATCACATTATTTTTTCATCTCGCACTTTCCATTACATTTACACTTTATACGGGGTAAATCGCTACGTGTCAACATTTCAAAGTAATTGCAAGATAATACGATTCACCCTGTACAATTTTTTATTTATCAAATGTAATACCAGAAAAATTACTTAAGTATTCTGTAATGCAACACTGTTATACAGGGCTATATAATAAGGAAGCTTGGTCGTTATTGGACTGTTGTTCAATCTTCAATGCCCATTCTTCAATGTTATTTTGAAATACTTAGACTAACGAACTCATCAAGAAAAAAAAAAAATTTCCATTTTCAAGTATCAAAGAAAAGATTTAGCGATGGACCATTTTAATTTCATTATCATCGCTAAAAAAAGAAATTTATATTTTTAGATTTTAATACCAATGAGAAATGTGGAAACCCATTTCATTCACTTTCAAAATTTGGTTTGTTCCCACTATCTCTTCAGAGAATGAAAATTTTATGTAGAGTCAAACGTAACTTCTGTACGTGAAAGATCGAGATCATTTTCCATTTTTAAAAGAAATGTTTAGACTTTTTTTTTTTAAAACCATAAATATCCACAATTTGAAATATTCATCATAAAGCGAGCTCTTCAAGTTCCTTCATCAAGTCAGCTTCTTTCTTGATCTTGTCCAATTGATTGATTTCTAATTGTTTCCCAGCTACTTGCAACTCCTTTAACTTTGAAATCTGTTCTAGTTTCTATAAAAAATGAGAAATAATAAAAAATTAAAATAATTTATTTTATTTTATTTAGCATTAATAACAAAAAGTCTTACACTTTTAATTTTTTTAATTTTCTTACTCCTCTCCAAATTATCACATTCAGGAACATTTGTAGTTAAATTCTGAGTTTCTGTACTTGTAGTAACTTGTCCATTTGTACTTGAATTACTTGATTGAGAAGATTCCGATTCCTTTGTACCTTTCTTCGTTTTTTTCTTTGCTTTTGTTGTAGCTATAACATTGGATACATGAAAAATAAAGTACTTACTTTGTATCTATAATTTAACATTTCCAAATTATCTTACACTTTGGATTCTTTTTTATTCCAGCTTTATGCAATTCATCATCGCGTAATTTGAAACAAATAGTTTCCCCTCTGGCAGAAGGTGGTCGATACACTTGTTTTGATGCTAAAAATTAAAAAAAAATACCAAATATTAAAAAATAATATCGATTAATATAGTAGTTCTATTGTTCTAAAAAGCATTATAAAGAACTTTTACCTTGTGGTTGACTAGGAGCAATGCCTTCAACAGCTTTGTAACTAATTGGTTTTTCTGGAAATATTTCTGGTGGGAAGGTTTGCCATAAAACTTCCCAAAGCTCTTCTTGTTCATTCCATGGCCGTTCATATAATAAAGTTCCAGTATAATGCCAAATTTTAAATCTAAATATGAAATATTTATCAGACATGAATTAATATCCAATTGTTGGTATAATAGACAAATATAAAATATTTACCCATTGCCCATTCGAAGTCTAGGTGCTGTAGTTGCAGTCATGAAATGTTCTCCATCTGGTGACCACTGAAGAAGCGTCGTATCAGGAGCTTCAGTTTTAGCAATTAGTTTTCTGTTAGCAACATCCCATAATTCAATACCACCACGAAGATTGCCAAATCCAGTCAAAATTAGAAGTGCAAAGTAGTTAAGGAAATATATTTGTTAATAAAAACATTTCTTATTAAATAAACAAATAATAATTTAAAATCAGTTAAATGAAGTAATTAAAGGATATTATTCCCTTGAGGATTGTAATAAATGCTATTTCGATGTAAAGCACCAAATTCAAATATCGGTTCACACTTAAGATTAAATAATGTAGCTTTAGCTGGCATAAAATCATATATGACACAGAATTCATTATTTTTCGGAGACCACTGAACAGCATGTATAGGACCTTTATTACCTAATTAAGAAAAATAAGAAATTATATTTTGGAAACAGTCAAAAGTGTTATTTCATAAACAAAAACAATAATTGTGAATCATAACATACTAAGCATGACCATAGAAGTTTCTCCTTTTGTACTGAGATAATGTAATGTCTGTTTTCCATAGTACGAAGCGCCTGTTTTGTCAACCTCTGTGCTCGTCATTAATAAAACACTTGTTCCATTATTATTCCAATAAATGTTTACTCTGTCCGCCTGAAAATAAAAATTGTAGAATTTTATGTACCTACATAGATATGTATAAATTTCATAATAATATAATACCTGGAAGAAACTTTTGTTTGCTAAAGCTTGGGTGAATTCAAACTTTGGGTATTGAAATAACCTAGCAAATGAAGGCTGGCCTGACTTTCCTGTAAGATAACAATACTGGTTATAAAAAATAATTAATTATCTAGATTATATTGATGGTATGGTACTTTACAATTTAATACAATTTGGTACTTAATTTAATTTAATACAATTTGGTATTTAATGTGGAGAGTATTTATTCGTTTTACAAAGAGATATTAAATTCGTTGTAATTTCGAATTTCATTTATAGGTATCTAAGAATCGTAATTATTGAAACAAAAAAATAATTACCTGTTAAATATATACTTTGTTTCCCTAAAACTTTATGAAAGTACTTACATATAAAAATGAGCATGCAATAATCAGGAATATTTCCCATTACTGTTGATCCTGATTATATATTGATATTTGTATATTTTGCAAAATACCATTACGTATTAATATTCTGCTGTACTTCTTTAAAATATTAAAGTATTCTATACAGATACAATTATCTTATAATCTCCATTCCATTTGTGTATTACATGCTTGCCACACATATTTGCTTCATAATGAGAGAAACTGAAATAAAAAAGTATTTCATAAAATACGCCAATTTTTTATATGCTTGAACTATATTACTAATAAACACTGTATATATTTCAATCAACCAAATAGAATTGCTAATTATGCTTTTTAAATCATTTTGTTTGTTATATTGAAATTTATATCACTTCTCATAGTTTTTATGAAGCACTAAAATTTATCATATTTATTTTATTAAATATCAGCTAAGAAAATGATATACTCTCCACATATAAGTACCTTGATGTAATATGCATGCATTTGTTTAATTTAAAATTAAATAAATACACAACAAAATTTAATTACCCGGCATATAACAGAGAATATAGTATGGAGTATTACTTGGTGATATACTAAATCTAGCAACTTTGGCTACATTTATTCTGTACATAATTTTGTTAAAATTGACATCCTCATATAGAATGACGTCTGCAGCAACTAAAATCCCACAGATCTTTTCATCACTTGTCCACTGAGGTTCCCTAGATAGATATAATAGAAATAAGTTCTATCTATTATTTATCTTAAAAAAATATAAAATTTTAGTTCTATCTATTATTTATCTTAGAAATATAAAATTTTTTATATACAATTTTTTTCCAAAATTTAAACATTGAAATATAAATTATTTATAAAAATTATATTTCTTTAATTACATAAATCATAGAATGTTAGACGAAAAAAACAAATAATTTGCAAAAAAGTAATTTCATATAGTTTAATATAAGTTTTAGTTAAAAATAAAATAGCTGTATAATACATTACCAATCTGATTGTTTTTTCTGTATAAAACTCTTCACCAGTTCTCCAGTCTCTGATTTCCATATGTGAAGATTTGGCATTCCTTGAGGATTTGATGAAGTCGCTGTAATATATAAATTAATAACATAAATATAATTTTACAAATATAATTTTTATAGTCAAGAAATTGAAATATAATACAAATAAAATAAACATTAAGCATTCTTATTAATTCATTTAATAATTATAAAACAATAAAAACAATGAAATAGAAATAAAAGACACATTAGGTAAATAATTGGAAGTAATTTAAATGTAAATAATATAGAATTAATATAATACCAATGAATGGTTCCCACGTCATAAAATATGTGCTTTGAGCGGAGAACTGAATTGCAGAAATTTTAGGTCTTTTGATTTCTGTAATTATTTTCCAGGTAGAACAATGTAAAATCTTGGCAGTCATTCCATTGACCCATGCAAAATAACGTCCCTCTGGGCTAAAAATCATTGCTTTGCATGTTTTACTATCATCTTTAGGAAATGATTTTACTGGTTCATACGACGGAGGGCCTTGTCCTAAGCTGATTCCAATGGAACCTCTCACTGAAGAAAATCAGTTATACAATAGTTTTAAGTTCTCTCTTCATTACTGAAATCTTTATTATATTTAAATACATGTATATATAATTAATTTCATTAGTACAAACATAAAATAAATATTACATATCTTGAATAAAAATATTAAAATATACACTTGAAAGGCAAATTTAAATAACAACGAATTATTTATGGAATTAAATGAAATTGTCGAAAACAAACATAGCATGTAAATGCATTTGATAGTAAATACATTTTCATAACAAGCCATGACGCATTTTTTTAATCAAAAATGTGTTTCAGTAATACAATGCCACATGACGCATTTTTGTGCAATCAATCGTGGGGTAACACGAAACTTGTAAAACATATTACGGACAGACGTACATTCCGTGCATGTTAATGTCATTTTTAAAAAATGCCAATAAAAATTTGATTGTAAAGTAAGAAAATTATTAATAAAAACAACACAAAAATTCTTACCAGCGACACAAGGAACAGTTAACGCCATTTTACCTCCGTTACCATGTGGTACCGTAATATCGAGTATCGACCACTCTTGCCAGACTGAGGAATTTGTCCCTTGAAAAGGATTTCTTGCACATGCGTCGCCAACATCGTATGCAAGAAACACGTGCGCTCAGTACCGTAGAATGAAATATATATGTTCATCAAATTTTCTCTATTATTTATTTATAAAAATGTTAATATATTTATATGTAGCAGCTATAATTGTATATAAATAAGTATTTACTATCAGATATATTAAAAATAAATAAAATATCATATGTATATACCATATCAAAGTACATCTGTATGTCAATCTTTTAATTTGAATATTGAAGATAAATTTCTATAAAATAATTGTATTTGCATAATCGCTTCTTTCTTGTAAATAATTATTTGCTGTTAGACAAACAGTATCTTTTTATTTTTTCAAAAATATTTTATCACTATTATTTTATCCTAAGTAATAAATTTATTCTAAAACTGTAAAAGTTTACAGATTTATATTTAAACGCTGTCTAATCATAATGATGTATTCATTAAGTGTAATTTAACTCTCTGCTGTCAATATAAAATCTTACATAAAATCACATATTTAACTATGTTTTAGAGATAAGATATGTATCTATATTTTTCTAAATAAAGATAAAAATATATGTATTCTTGTTACAAACCATTGAACTTTAAAGCTTCTAAAAATTAAAATATATATTATTTTAATCGCTGCATTTATGAATTAATTCCAAGTAATTCTTTTTTATATAATTGACAAGAAATTATAACTAAGTATAAAATTATAATTTAGTATAAAAAATTAAAACGAGATAAGGAAGAAAAATAATTGCTAATACGGTGTATCATTAATGCAAACATATTTTAATTATGTCATTGCACAGTAAATTAAAAATTGAAAAATGTTTGTTGAACACCCTATATTTGGCAGAAATTATATGTCAGCATCGTCTTACGTGGGGTATGGCAAGTTCATGTTTTAGGTAAGAATTATAAATTTTATATTATTTTTTGTAATAACATTGTAATACTTTCTTTATTATCTAATTATACATAACAATATAAATGACACGATAAATATAATACAGCTAATAATGACATATAGTATTTTTGTTTCGATTTAAGTAAGGTTATGTTTTTATGAGTATAATCTAATTTAATAAAATAAAAAAAATGAATAGCAGCAATTCTTGTAAAATCTCTTCATCTTATATTTCAAAAACAAATTTGTTATTACACATACATAATACTTACTTATGTTATATTACTTATGTTATTCATAAATTTCCTTTTAATTTTTGTAATTTATAAAAACATCAAACAATTTGATATCAATAATTTAATATTGCTTTAATATGTCCTTAATATGCTTATCAGCAATGTGGATGAATATGGCTTTGAAAGACCTCAAGACTTTGACTATGAAACCTATGAAGATTTTATGTCAGAATATCTCAAAGTACTTACTAAAAGAGCAAAAAAGTGGTCTGAAGTCATAGGAGAAGGAAAATCATTACAACGTAATATTACGATAAAGAGATATGTTCGTAAAGGAATACCAGGAGAACATAGAGGATTAGTAAGTATAAAATTCATATTTTATTTTATCTTATAAATATATAAAGGAAAAATTTGATTCTGAAAGGTATGGCTTTCTGTCAGTGGAGGAGAAGATTTAAAGAGTATAGAACCTGATCTTTATCAAAAGTTGTTACAACCTCCACATAATAAACAAATAACAGACGTCATTAAAACTGATCTACCAAGAACTTTTCCTGATAATATATTTTTTAATAATACAGAAAATCAGCAATACCAATTGTACAATATTTTATTAGCATTTGCTCATCAGAATAAAACAGTAGGATATTGTCAAGTATGTTAAATTTATTATAATAATAAGATATATTTTTAATAATTTATACATAAGGTACTCATATTTTTTTAGGGTTTGAATTATATAGCAGGTTTATTATTGCTTGTTACAAAAAATGAAGAAACTGCATTTTGGTTGTTAAAAGTTTTAATAGAAAAAATTTTACCTGATTATTATACACCAACAATGGATGGCCTCCTTACAGATATAGATGTGCTTGCAGAATTAGTCAAGTAAATTTTTTAAGTTTTTATTATAAATATACAAATTGTATATGTGCACATGTATATATTGTTATCATTGTTATTATTTTAGAATGAAAATGCCAGATATTTATCAACATGTAACGAATATAGGCTTACCTTGGGCAGTCATTACAACGAAGTGGTTTGTGTGCTTATTTGCAGAAGTATTACCAATTGAGGTAAAGTTGATTACATGTACTTTCTAAAAATAAAATTTACAAAATTGGTGTTTTGCTGTCTTTTAACATTATTATATGTGGTGTGTACACAGTTGATTCATTCATTAGTTTAACGTTTTGAATTAATTGGATTGCCATATACTATAGAAGTATTGAATAAAATATTTACAACTTGGCAGACTACGCTGCGTATATGGGATTGCCTTTTTTATGAAGGCAGTAAAATTATATTTCGTGTTGCATTAACTCTGATAAAAAGGAATAAATGCAACCTGCTTGCTTGTCAAGATTTTACAACATTAGCAGAATGCTTTAAAGAAATAACAAAAGACAGTATTGTTTTAAAATGTCATGATTTTATGCAGGTAAATATAATTTTTTTTATTTTTTGTTTTAATATATCGAAAACAAATGTTTTTTAACAAATGTTATCTAATATTTTATTTTCTTTAACCAGAGTATATTTAAAGTACCTGGATCACTGCCTGGTAGCACAATTATTAAATTAAGAACAAAAATATCACGACAACGTGTGGAACAAAAAGAAAATAAATTAGGACGATAGTACTAGTAATCAGATTTTATCTACTGAAAGTTTCTAGTCAATATATTATTTTATTGTAATTCCTTAAAAAACGAATGTATTATATAATATTATTATAATATTACATCTACAGTATTTCTGTAAATTTAAGAGTAAAAAATAGCATACCAATTTATTACATTGATTTATATTAATTTATAAGATTCTTTATACATTTTTATTTATAAAACTGAACGAAATGGAATACTATAATTTTATTATATACACTGTAAGATTGTAATATATTAATTGTACAAAGATCATGTGTTAAATACTTTTATCGATATAAGTTCAATCATCAAAATTGGAGGAAATGTATAAATAATTTTATCATAAGTTAAATAAAATATAGAATCATTATCTTATTAAATATTTACATAGAGATTTACTTGTTGGAATTAGATTTACAAAACTATTAGCAAACAAATTTCATATACATTATTTATACTTATACATTCAGCTATATATAAATCATTTTTCTAATAAATCTTTTGCTTCATTAATTTTTGCAGCAATATATGGAGATCCACCTTTATCTGGATGATTAACAGCCATAATTTTTTTAAATTGTTGTTTCACTTTTACTTTACTTGCAGTTGGTGATACATCCAATATTAAACTAGCTTCCCGTCTAGTCATTTTAGGTTCAAAACCTCCTTTATAATATTTACTATTTGCTAATGTCTACAATGATATATTTCATTAAATCCACTCAACTGTTATATACTTATATAAACTTAATATTTAAAAATCTACCTGTGAATTTAGTTTTGGTACATTTTTATAAGCTTCTGCCATTCTTTGAGATAAGTGTGGCATTTTTTTAAGCATATAACGTCCAGTAAAACCTACTACAGCAAGGCCAATGCCTGCTGCAATAAGTGTAGAGGCCTGCAAATATCACTTATTATTAAAAACATATGTTACAAATTCCCATTTATCGAATAAAAATATTTATTAAAAAGTTTTCTGTTAATTTCCATATAATTCTTTAAGTAATTACACATATCCACATAACCAAACAAATGTATAGCCATAACCAAACAAATGTATAGCCATAACCAAACAAACAAATATATTGAAAAAAATGTTAGATACTAGAAATAAAGATAATTAAATTTTTTTTTTTTCTTTGAATGATAATTTGTAAAGTCACGATTATTTATTTCACTGCTGATGAAATTTTGATGAAATACGTGTACTGTATACATACATTCTTGGCATTGTATGTACAATTATAACTTGCAACACAATATTAATTCAGTAAAAACTAAAGAAATATTAGAGGTATATTGTTACACAGTTCAATATCAATAATGAAATTATTTCATAATATGTCACTGGCTTTTAATCTTACCATTTTTGGAAAATCGTCAAAACAACACGACGTTTATTCAAAACAATATAAAATAAAATAATCTTCTTCAACCATTGAAAAGATGTTAAAAAAGATGATCAACAGTGATTGAAAATAATCAGGGGAAAAAATAACACTTGATTTAATTGTGAATTCAACTTTATATTTATTCTATGTACTTTCATGTATATTTGCCCATATTATATATAATTATTCGAATAGGAAAATATAAAGTAAATGTAAAAAGACTAACACGTTATATAAAGTATAAAACAAAGTATAAATTTTAAAAAGTTGAAATTGTTCTCCATACAAGAATAGCAATATTACCAGCGTTGTACATGTATAGTAATGACTTTGCTTGATACGTAACTGCGCAAGCATATGATTCTCCAATAACTACATGAAATGGACCACCAAATCTTTTGTCTAAACTATCTTTAATATTTCGAGCAGCTAGTTCATAATTATCGGTATATTTTTCTGTAGCTGTAACACATATTTCCATTGCTTCCTGTTTCATTTCTTCCTTCATATTACTGTACTAAAAAAGGCTTTCTAATTAATCCATATATCATTTTAAATCTCATAAAATTTAGCCCAAACTCTTACTTTGCATAAAGGATACGTATGAAATATTAAAGATTCTTCTATCTTCTTTACCTCACCTGCAGACATTTTTAATCATTAAAGAAATTTATTCCAAATTAAAGAAACATTATAATATAGAATTCCAACAGTACATTGAAATGTTTAATATATTTCAAAAATTGACTTTTAGGTTCAAAATAAAGGATTCAACGCAAATGTAAAATCAATATTTTTCATTTGTTATTTTTTATAAGTGACAAGATATATTATGTATAAGAAATGGAATAAAATTTAAATTTATAAGGTGGAATCCAGTTTCGCAGATTATTATTTATGTCAATGTAAAATAGTAGTCTTTATTTATGAGAAATAAATTTATATATTTTCTGAAGATGATTAAAATCAATTGGTATTAATACATCACTTTCAAAACGTTTAATATTATTTTCAAATTTAAAATAGCTGATCTATAAACTGAATGTAAGATACCCGTTAGGGTGACCAATGACTTACAAGAATTAAAATCCAGTCAATTCTTAATCGTTAAAAAGGTTAGAACTAGCTTAAATAACCGCTTTATTTTTGGCGCGAAGTTGTTTTATAGTTATGTTTAAGTAATAAAAAGTGGTGATTTATTGAAAAATTATACACAGTTATCAAAAGGAGGTATAATGTTGTGATAATGTTACATATAATGTCATAAAATTTCGATAGTTTTTTAAATCATAGAATCAGAAAAACATTTACAAATAAATACAAATGTAAGAAATTATTCGATAAACTTTAATTCAACTTTATACCTAAAAATAACGTTTTTGCATTTTGTTTTGTAGTAATAAATGAATTTTAACCGCTGATCTATCAAATTCTGAAGCATATACTATATAACCTATGAATATTATTCAGCGGTAACTTGTTAATTAAGGTTAAATTTATGTGTTGTATATGTATGTGTGTGTGTATATATATATATATATATACATATCTCTAAAATTAAATTCAATTAATTAAAATTAGATAAGCAGGGAAATATTTATATAAAATAATTTTGCTTATAACAAGAAAATATTTTTATTCATTATTGGTAAGATTGGTAAGATTCATCACTGATATACACTTAATTATTTCTTACAGATTAATTCGTATTATTTATTTTATTGTTAATATAATATGGAAGATCCAGCTACCGCACGTTTAAAGAATTTAGTAGTAAGCAGTAATGAAGCTTTAGAATTTAAATTAGTACGTTCTGTTAATGATTTAGAAAATGATGAAACTACGTTTAAACCAGAAATGTCCCATCAAGTATTTGGAGATAGGTTTGTTATTAAAATATGCATTACTAAAAATCTGCATAAACATTGCAGATTTATAATTAAATATATTTATTAATTTGTTCATTCATTGTTTTTCTTAATTATTAATTTTATTTGTTAGTGAATCTATATTTGGCTACCGGGATCTTAGAGTAAAGTTATATTACTCAGCAGGTTGTTTAGAAACTTATTTAGGTATGACTTATTCAGAAAAAATAAATAAACTATTTTATGAGGGAGTTGAAGCTGATGAAATATTGCCTAAAATTGCTGAGAAATTAGCTCCACAAGTACATACCAATATAGATGCATTTATTGAATCTTTAAAAAAGGATGATACATTTAAACCTTATGGTGTACTGCTTCATTCATTTTCTATTAATGGTAATGTTATATATTTTTTCTTTATTTCATGATCTGTATTTTTATATATAAAAAAAGACTATAAACAATCTGAATAATTAATCAAAATTTATAAATGATACAGATGAAGTTTGTACAAGAAAATTTGAAGTTTATAAAGCAGACATGACGTATAAAGGTTTTAAAGAATATCATCAACGTCTCCAAACATTTGTATTGTGGTACATAGATGCAGCTAATTTTATAGACATTGATGATGATCGGTGGCACTACTTTAATATGTAAGCTTGGCTGTAATTTTACACTAGTTACTTATTAATTACATAACACATCATTTTTTTAAACAAATCATTTTTTTGGAATAGGTTTGAAAAATATCAAACAGCAGATGGTATTATTCGTTATGCAACTATTGGTTTTGCTACTGTATATCAATACTATGCGTATCCACGTCATACTAGACCTCGTATAGCTCAAGTCTTAATTTTACCACCATTTCAAAATATGGGTCTCGGTACACATTTATTACACGCTATTTATCGTGAATACATTGGAAGAAACCAGGTCAAAGACATAACAGGTAAATAAAACATATAGAAACACGCGATTATTAAAAAATCAATTCTATATTTGAGAATAAAACAAAAGTAAGGCCTGATTAAACACTTTCATTTCAGTAAATCTAGTACATTTTGGTAAGGCATTGTCATCATTGTTGTAGTTGAGGACCCTTCTGTGACCTTTCAACGGTTAAGAGATTATGTGGATGCAATAAATTGCAGTACATTGCCTAGTTTTTCACGAGACTGTCTACTTCAGGGTTTTAATAAAACAATGGCTGTAGAGGCTAAAGAGAAATTCAAGATTAATAAGGTATTTTTTTATATTTAAACTCGCTATAAGAAACATTTTAGTTTGAAATATGAAAATAGAAACATTTTAATTGAAACATTTTAATTGAAATATATAAATTTTTAGAAACAAGCTCGCAGAGTATACGAAATTTTAAGACTACGGGCAACAGATCTAACAAACGAGCAAGAATATCGTGAATATAGATTAGATGTGAAAAGAAGATTGAATATTCCATACAGACGCGAACAAAATGATTTGAAAAAGTTGGAATGTGCATTAAAGAATATTGATAAACGTGCGAGCATTACTTTACCTACACTGGAACAGCGTATACAAAGTCTTGAGAAAGAATACAGAAGCTTAGAAGAAGAATATAAGAAAGTAATTAAACGTTTGGAGGATGCAGAAGAACTTTGAAATTTAATATTTCTTTCTGTTTTTTATTTTTATTAAGTTGCTTGTGTACGAAACGATTAATACTGTTTGAATATGAATTATCAGTCAAAACTTCTTTTGTTTCCTATTGGCTCAATAAAGTTTCTTTTTATTAAATAATTTATTATGCAATCATACTTAAATATATTTATTTACTCCTACTTTGTCAAAATACAAGTAGTAGACTGCAGTCTTATCTACTGAAATAAAACCCTAAATTGATTAATACTGTTAATTAGCTTTTTTGTAAATTTGATCAATTCGTAGATGCTGAAACTAATATTACATAATAATGAAATGGTGAATTTAAATGCATTGCTGTCCTTATCGCACACAAGTGGGCATTTTGCCTATCACACAACATAATTTATGTTTGTGTATTCTATCATTGCACTCTTTGTCTTATTAACAGAATGTTTCAGTTTATTAGTAAGAATTTCAAATCTTTATTCATACATTTTCTAGATCAAACGAAATATAGGAAGAAAGCTTAGAATCTAAAAATGAAGATATAATTGAGATAAAATTCATAAATTAATTTTTTTAATTAATCTTTTTTGCAAATGAAAATTTAATCAATTTAATCAATTTATGGATGCTGAAGTTCCGATTTTCTATCCAATCGCTACATCTTTCCTTATTGCACATTAATGCGCTCCTTGTCTACAAATAGTGCTGCCATCTAAGCATCTCTCAGCTTTCAAAATAAAAGATCCGATAGATGACAGTAATTTGCCTTTCTCATTAAATAGTTCTGATTGTCGTAGATAGTGCAATACATATACTTTCACAACAAGGAGCGCGATATCATGTGATAAGAATAATAATAGATTTTAGTTCTATCGTCTCACCGCTACGCGGTGCTAGCATTTCGCTGTCCATTAGTAAATTTTCATTTGGAAGAGAAACTAATTAAGAAGATTAAATTATGAATTTTTGCAGTTACATCTTTTTAATTAAGCCCTCACCTTTCTTCATTTACGTCATTTGATCTATAAAATGCATATGCAAAGACCTGGAAATTTTTTTCAAAGCATTCGTTCGAATTTAATTTCTCGCAAATTTCTCATAAATTATTTTATTATTGACTAGCTGATATTATGTTTAAAAATCTAAAAAGATATTATATTTCTGTAAATTGTAGACAGCACATCAAGTATCAATTTTCTCGATGAATTTTATTTTGAAATTATTGTAATTGATTTCTGTATCGCGGCTATGTTGAATTGATAACGTTATGCGTTCATGTGATATGATATGAATAATTTTATCATTGATATAAAAGCATACATTTGATTGACGTTAGATACTTCGTTATACTTTGTATAAAATAGTATCTATAAGTAGTTGTTGGATGACCAACCTCATAATATTAGTGCTAATACTGACAATGAGTCAGGAATAGTCCTCCGAAAGTGCCCTACAAACACTTATTCTAAGGGCAAATTTCAGGAGTTGATCATTTATGCTTCCTCCTCTCCCTCCCCTCCCTTTCCTCGATTTATCATAGATAAATTATAAAACGACGTGTTAAGAAGAGAAGAGCATACTCTGTATGATTTTCCACTAGGAAGACCTTGACTACGTAGAATAAACTCTTCCAAAAGTATAAGTATCGTTTCTTTACGCGGAATCCAACATAGTAAGTTAAATTTGAAAAAAAACACTTCTCAAATAACATTATACAAAGAAATGACTAAGTATAAAGTAAAGGTAAGATAATTCGTATCAAAAGAGTTGAGAAATCACATATTAATTTATATTAATACTATGCTTAGAAAATAAATTATTGTCAGCAATTCTTTCATTATATCAATTAGTATTATATTTTTTATATTATTATATACTTATAATTTATATCACGTTTTCAAATATTTGTGTAATTAATAAAATATATAGTTTAATTTGTACTTGAGTACACAATCTCACACATTGTTCTGAAACTTGTCATGTGACGAATAGGTGGTTTTCTTTTTTTTTTTAATTTGAAGTAATACTATAGCCACGTAAATTTACAGGTTGGGATAATTGGTGGTTCAGGCCTAGATGATCCTCAAAATCAAATATTACATTGTCAAACTATAATTACGCGAGAAAAAGCTAAAAACGAATTTGGATTACCGTCGAGCGATCTTTATCACGGAAGTCTTAATGGTATAGACGTGGTGTTATTATCAAGGTAATTCTTCAAAGAAATGAATTTTTTGCATAAAATGAATAAATTATTTAAAAAGTTGACGATAAGTTTTATTCTGGAATGAAAGTTTAAAGAAAATTTTATATACCTAAATACAGACATGGACCGGGTCATAAAACAAGTCCTACTGTAGTAAATTATCGTGCGAACATTGAAGCTCTACGTTTAGCTGGATGTACTCATATACTTGCATCAACAGCATGTGGCTCTTTGCAAGAATCTATTTGTAGGGGACAGTTAGTTATTCCAGACAGTTTCTTAGATAGAACTATAAAAAGAAATACAACATTTTATGATGGCACTTCACCTAAATATTTTGGTAAATTATATTTTAATATTACATTAATATAATATCGGTTCTGTGTCTATTGACATTGTAAATTTTAGGGGTGTGTCATATGCCGATGGAGCCAGCTTTTGACCCAACTACATCTCAAATATTGTTTGAAGTTGGTAAGGAAATAGGATATGACATAAGAAAAGGAGGAACAGTTGTAACTATAGAAGGACCAAGGTTCTCTTCAAAAGCTGAAAGTAATGCGATGCGTTTATGGGGTGGACATTTAGTTAATATGACTACATGTCCTGAGGTATTATATTTCTCAACTTCTTCTGTACCAACTTGTCAATTTATTTAAAAACAATATATTTTAAAATAAGGTATATTTAGCAAAAGAAGCAAGACTTCTATACGCAGTTGTAGCAATGGCAACTGATTATGATTGTTGGAGAGATTGCGAAGATAATGTTCATGCAGCTGATGTAATAGAAGTATTTAAACAAAATGTCAACAAAATAAGAGATATACTTACAAAGGCAGTTAAACTTATTGGCGAAAGAAATTGGGACAAGGAAATTGATGCTTTAGAAGTAATAATCATAAAGTACTTAAGAAAAATATAAATTAATAATATAAGTACAATATTTTTTTTTCTTTTCAGGAATTATGTCAGAGTAGTAACGTTTCTTCTCATACTTCATAAGTCTGAATGTCTATAATGTGTCTAGAATCTAATTCATATAGTAAACAGTAAGAATCTAATTCATATTTTAGGTTTATACTAATTTTGATATAATCTTGATATAATAAAAAATAAAATTTATATATTGTAAAGATTTTCAGAATACATATTATTTTAATAAATGATATAGAAAAAATAAAATACAATTTATTGTTTAGTATTATTTAATTTATATAATCAATAAAAGCAAAATAATTAAATGATACATATATTATAACAATATAATTTCTTGATCACATGAGAATTCATTTATTTTCTGGTTTAACATACAATTATTCAGCTAATATTGTCATCACTATGACTGAAATGTTTTTACAACTGGAACTATAAAATTATACATTATAAATATAATATTGTAATTGATTTTGGGATATATAAAATAATACATTTTCGGAATTATCAATATGATACATGTAACGTTTATAATACATAGAATATTTTCATTATTTAACGCATAGGAAAACTTTTTTTTATAAAATTTAATTGATGACGATAAAATTTTATCGTCAGTTATATAATTTACAGTTGCGTTTTAGTAATAAATATATTAATGATTAATTTTTCGAAGAAAAATTAAATTATCTTCCCTTAAGTTAACATATGTTTGCTCAAATCAGAAACAATATTATACCTGTAACTCATTCTATTTTAAAAATGTATGTACAGAATAAAATTGAACATATTCAAACATACAGTTTAGTTTATGTTGTTGTATTAAAAATACAATTTCAAAAAAAATAAGATTTAAGCAGCATATTAAAATAATATTGCAAAGCACAGTTTCTATACACGAAGTATTTATAATACAACCTGTTTAAAGAATATGCACCATAGCGATTTCTTACATTATTTTTCACTTTTGTGCAGCCTTCAAATCAATATTTAATACTTAAATTGAATTTATCATAAAATTGAATTAATTGAATTTACTATGAAATTATTATATATTATTAAAACTTGAAACATAATATTAATGATAATACTTTAAGAGTTCAACTAATGTTTCGATGTTTTTTAGTTTTTAATAAGTAACACTGACACATTAGCACGTATCTAGTATACTCAGTATTGTTAAAACATTAGTTTTCAATATATTTAATGAAATAAATTTACAGTATCTTGACATTTGAATAACACTTATTTTACTAAATGTTGCATAATATATGCATTACGAAGACCTATTGAATGATTATGGTAAAAGCATTTGAAACAGATATTATGACGTATGTTTTTATAACAAGGTGAACTTTCTTGTTCATAACAATATTCACAATGATCTTAATTTTATAAACAATACATAACATGATACAGCTCTATATTGCAGAATTTCTGTTCTGGCACGATACTTCCTTTGCTCTTTATATAGTACTATGTAAAATAGGTTGTGCTATATTTAATTGTGAAAATTTTGATACATTTATACAGACATTTTAAGCAATACATGATTATTATAGTTGTTATAATAATCTTTCAATATTTTCATTTTTTCTTAAAGCTGTAATTTTAAAGAAATAATTATTTTATGAGTCTGATTTGTCTCTTGTTCAATCAAATATAGCCTGTTTAAAAAGAAAAGAAAATTTGCAACATGTATTCAAATGTATCTGTTAAAATTTATACAAATCATTGTACATTCTATTATGCATAGTTAATATTGAACTAATATCAAAGTACATACATCTTTCCAGGTATTTTGATGTACTATAAAAATATCATTTTTGAGTAAATATTTGGTTTACTCCTGGAAGTGAATCGACGATAATTATGTTTACATCAAAAATCAAAATCAACAAAGTTTTAGAAAATCCAAAACAAAATTTATGTAAATACACAGTATTACTTTGTACGCACCTGTTTTAAGTACCTGGAGTTATAGAAGTATGTTTTATGTAAATGAAGGATATTTAAAATATAAGAAAATAGACTCAGCTTCAATAATTAGACTTTACTATCAACCATATCTACGTTGATTTTATAATACACGTAAGGGAAATAATCATTTTGGCCAAAACCTAATCCTGGTATATCCACATTCTGTTTAAATAAACAGATATAAAAAGAATATTAAGTAATATATCACAAAATTCTTTATGTAGAAATTAAATTGCTTTAAAATAATTTATTGTCTAAACATTACAACTTACATCTTGATTTCCCTGCGTAGCAGATGATGCCGTAGCAGAGGAATCTAAATGAGCATAATGCTGATTCAGGACATCACGTAGTCGTCTTGCACATCTTTTATGAGGATGTAACAATATCGCTTGGAAATTTACAGGTAACCCATACCTAATAAAACATAGTTTAATGAATGTATGATTATATTTATATTACATTTTGTAATATCAAATGATTCATATTGTTACCTTAGAACAGATTCTACAAATACGCGTAAAGCTTTAACATGAATCCATGCACAGAAACACTCACTAAAGTTAACTTTTAACCAACGTACAAGAGGTCCAAATTGTTTCTTTTTATCAGTTACCAATTTTGTTATCTCATTTTTTCCTATAATATATTTTAATAAATTTCACAATTAAAAATAATATTAATGCATGTAATTGAAAACAAAGTAATTATTATAAATAGAAATAAAAGTTTGTAACAAAATATTACATACCTGCGGCTAGTTCTTCTTCATTATATGTAAAATCACGAACAATGAATTTTTTTTCACGTGCATGTAATTTAAATTCATCAATAACTTTTTTAAACAAAGTAACAGTAAATAATCCATACTCAGAATCTTGAGCAATAAGTTGTGTGGTACGTGGAACTATCATTTTTGTTAATTTTTCGTATCCACTGTACCACTCCTGGAAATACGCTCTAAAAATTTCATAGAAAAAATTTTGTATAATTAAATAAATAGCAGCAATCACAAAACTGTTAAACAAATTTACCTTGGGACAATTACAAGTAAAGTAGTCAAATACTCGCTATCCAAAATAAAGTGTTCTTTCTTCACTAAATCTGCCAAATTTCTTGTTAATAAGCTTCCTCTATATAACAATTATTTATTACTATTATAATAACTTTCAAGGTATAAAAATTTTTATAGTTGAATTTGATAAAAATTTAAACGTGTACAACAAAAAATTATAACTTACGTTTGTTTTTTTTCAAGATTTTGTAAACTTCCTTTCAAATTATTATATGTTGTAGATTTAGTTTTAAGATCTGCATCAATTTGACCCACTTGTTTACTGATAATGTCAGCAATGTTTCTCAATGATTGCTTGATAGGATATTTTGCCATATCCCACTGGAATCGAGTTATATATGATGGTAGATCACCTAGTAAATTCAAAATGTTAGTGAAATTGTTCTGTGAAATAACCATTTTCGTTTTCTACATAAATATTCAAACAGAGCTCAATACAATTTTGAAAGTATGGTATCATAAATAACATGCATTGTTTAAATTAAATGTATACTAAGTGCTTAAGTGTGCTTATAAATGGAAATACTGAATATATTTTTAATGATTTGATAAAGTTTATAAGCTGGAAATGATAAAGCTCTGTTGAATTGTAGATGTATTGTACAAATGCAGAAATGTAATATATCTGTAATATTTACATTTTTCATTTTCACAATATATTTTTATATGCATTAAAAGGTGATAAATACTATAGTTCTTCTTTTTTTTAAAGAAAAGAAAGAATAATTATATTACTTCCACTGTTGCATCATATCTCTATTATGCTAGTCATAAAAAAAAGAATTATAGGTCTGCATGTGTACAATAAAATTATGCATATGAGTACATATCTAATTAAATTAATTTTAGCTGAACCACAATTAAAATAACTTTTAGATTGACTCTGTGATAAGGAGAGTATTGATAATAATAAGATAACAGAGAAAGATTGTTTCTACTAAACTCATTTTTTGATTCTAGTACGCTCCTTACGTATTATTAGCGTTACAAGAATAAGCGAGACATTAACAAAAATATAGCATGCAAACATTAATGTATAGAAGCATTTTATGTTATCAATTCTTTCTTATTGTAAAATTCATTTCATATAACAAAAACTGATATTTCTTTTTAACACATAACATATTTAAATAGATATTAGCTCAAATTAATTAATTTATATGTCTGTAATAAAAAAGAATTACTCGTAAATCACGTTTGAATGAATTAAGTAGTTCCAGCTAGTCCCTTTAATTAAATATTATAAAATTCGTTTCTCCGCCATTTCTTTTTTGTTATCCATAAAAAAATTTTTAACAAAATTATATTCATTCAAACAAAATTTATGATATAACTCTGTACTACTAATGAATTTTGAACTACGTTAACATTCTTCCATAAAATTGTTAATGAGTAATTTTTGATGAATAGGCTCGCACGCACGCATGCACGCATACACTTGTTTCATTAGAATATGAATGTAATAAAAACTATTGAAGTATTAAAATGATTATTGATGCCATATAATACAAATTATTTCTTTATTATTTTAAAAATATATTTGACACTTGGTGTATATTAGAAACCTAAATGGTGTAGCATGAACAGTAATAACATAGACACAGTATACAGCTATACTAAGATATTTAAGCATTTCATGCTGTTTATAAGCTATTTCATAAAAGTTGATCAATAGGATGTTTTTTGTGATATGGATAACTTGTAGTGTTGAAGGGTACTGAGCTTCATACTGTCATTAAAATTTATCTCATCATGCGAAACAGTATGTTGTAAGTCCATGTACCGATCGATAAGTGTTTTAAAAACATTAATTATGTAAAAATGTTAATTGTGTCTTATCTGTAATCTGTGCTAATGTCTATAATACATATGTGTACATGTATTATAGTTTGTGCGGTAGTCTTTCTATGAAAATTATAGAAAGAAATGGTTTGAAAGCATGTAAAAGCTAGGTATAGGATAAATGCTAAAAAATATATTAAAAAAAATAAAGTTATTAACAAGATAGTGTAGCTGTATTTTAAATGTAGCATACCTCTTACAATTATTTTTAAACCATACTTTAGATTATATTTATAGACATGAATTTTAAATTCACAAGTGTTACTGACTTGCAATCATATCATTTAAATTGTTTAAGTAAATGTAATTATTTAATTTAATGTAATGATGATACAATTATACCAGACTAATTTATTATTCTATTAACATATTTTAATTTTCCTCTTTTTATATATGAGTAAATTTATTATTCGTTTAAACATGTATCTTTTAAAAATAAAGTTACACAAAAAAATTTATATAGGAGAATTGAAAAAAAGTATGATATAAACGAATATGAAATTAAAAAATTATAAAAAGAAGCAGTTAAAATGTAAGAAAAATAAGGTTGATAATGATCGAGGTAATACACTATGTATTCTCATTCATTCGTCCACAGCACCTGGAACAATTGATCGAATGATATCCAAAAAATATTAATTAAATAGAACATTCTCATATCACTAAAAAATGAACTTTTTCCAAAAATTCCTTGATGTATTTTGTATTCAATCTAGGACGCAGGAGTAAAAAAGAACTAGCTAAGAACTTAAAATAAACTAGAGTATTTCCCGAAAAATAAACTTTAAGAATGTACGCACATTTGTTGCAATTAAAATGTGCTAGAACATGGGCAGCTGTCTTTGTTATCTTCCAATTTTTTAATTCCTGCGTGCACAAGAAATCAAGTATTGTTGTAGTATCACTGAGAAAATTACTGTGGTACAACACATTTGATACACTAGGCTTCTTTATTTTGAATCGCAAGCTAAATACTAAGCCAAATATTTTTCCTTTTGGTACTGTCTCACTTGGTGTATGCTGTAAGCATTCGAGAGAGATTGTCATGACTTTTATACTGTGCTTTATTCTCTTTTGATATTATCGTCAAAGTATATACAAATATGTAACGGATATTTAAATACTTATTGATACAAAGGAAACTGTGTCTTTTGAATAATGCAAATTCAATTATAACAAAGTGTAGAAAATTTATTACAGTGACAAAAAATAAAAAAATAAAATATGTAATAAGCAATGCTTTCTCATCTGACATAGCACATTAACATTTAAGAAGACTTGAAATAATTTATTACATTAGAGGCAAGATTTGGCATAAAATATTTCAGCATTACAAACATTGCATATGTAGTGCAGAGTTGTGCAAAATCGACACTGAAGGAAATGCGCACTAGGATCATAAAGACGCTTTCAATATATAGTGATTGAGAAAAATTGAAACAACGTGAGTTTTAATTATTTTTGTTTCTTTTTCCTCTAAGCAAAAGCTGCATGCGAAAATCATTTTTCTTCAATACTTTCAATACTATGAGATGACAACCTCTCTCTCTTTCTTTCTCTCTTTCTCTCACTTTCTTTCTCTCCTATATCTACCTCCAAAGGAGATAAGACAAGACAAGAATCGGTCGCTAAAACGGGCGAATCACGAGGTGCACAGGAAAAGTAGGTTTGAACAAGTCTCGCAGCTATGTTGGGGAAAAAGGGTCGACGGGTTGATCTGGCGGTGATAGGACGGGTACCTGGATTGGGCAAATTGCCGCTATGGTCTTGGTCTTGGTCTTGGTCTTGGTCGTTGTTTTGGTCCGCATCGTCTTCGTCGTCGTCATTGCCAAGCGATTTGCGATTGGAGGTAGATCGATCTGCTTTCTCAGTAGTTCGATGACGTGTTGCCGACTGCCATCTGGTCTCTCCTTCACTGCTACAGTTTGATGAAAGGGAAAGACTTGGACTCGTGGGAGTAGGGCTAGGAATAGGTGTGGAAGAGGTAGAAGCAGCGCACCAATGCGCATGGTAGCATGAATATGCTGATAAAGGATCACTTGATGATTTGACATCACAGATGCCTTGAGGACTATGTGATTTCTTTTCCATATCAGAAGAATGATTATGATGTTTATGACTATGATGATGCTCGTGATGATGACGCTGGTGATGATGCTGACCTAAACAGGCGGCTGCTTCTGGATCACATTTCTCCGATTCCTTCCACTGCTTGTGATGCTCCTTTGAAGACTTGTGTGATGGGGTGACGGGGGTGTTTGGCGGGGTGTCCGGACCCCCTTCGGGGCTCGAGCTCTCCCCATCCACTGACGTTTGACCTATCCATTACAGCCCAGTCCCAATCTCCGCGCGAATTTTTCTTACTCTCGTTCAACTATTATTGCGTCCTACGCAAATGCCTAACGACAATGCTGTCGAAACTCAATAAAAATAACTTAAAAAAAAAAAAAAAAAGAAAAAGAAAAAAAAGAAATCACGGAGTATTTAGCGCTCTAACCCATTAAAAATTTAATCATAATACAACTTTCACATATAGATAGTTTTACATATGTATCATAAATAAATGTTCTATTATATCATATTCTAATAAGTATTAGGGGCATTGCATTTAGAATATTTGCAATTTTTTTTGTTAAGAAAGTAACTATAAATAATAACTATGCACCTCATGATTACAATGTTAAATTATTAATACCATCGCATACACTATTGTAAAAAATTTATTGATTTTCATTTTTTTTTTTTGTTACTACATTTTGCAAATAAAGTAGTTACTATGTAGACCTTAAAGTAAATTTTTCGTTAAATACTCCGAAGTGGCAGAAGCAATAAAAGAATGAAAGAAGAAATAAACAAAAACAAACGTAAAACAAAACATAATTAGAATGAATAAAAAAAACTGAAAACAGTATGAGCAAATGATATGCAATGATGTAAACTTAAGTAGCAAATGATTAATAATGCCAAAGATATAAAATAACTTAAGAAAAGAGGGAAAAAATCCTTGTAATAACTAATTCGAGCTTGGTGACCACAGTAACCCAAGCAACTCCTTGCGTCCTTTGTAAATTTTTAATAAAAAATGTGGTCCATATGTTTAAATCTTTATATATTTGAAATTTTTCTTCTATATATATTTCAATATATGATGATACTGCATGTTTGTGTATTAAAATTTCTTGTAGCTTTATACATCTTTAATGGTGCACATGTATGAGCATTTGTTAATAAAATAATAAGGTAGGGAAATAGGGTTAATGTGGTCCAAATTAAATAAAGCAAGCCAAGCAACACCATAAATATGAGAAATTATTTGTAGTAAATAATAAATTAAATGAATTCTAACTCAATTATAGTAATAAGCATTCTACAGATATATAAATTGTATGCCAAAATATGATGCGTACCATCATATCTTGTATATTAAATAAAATTCTCAATTTTTTAATAAAATAAAATAAAAAATTGAAAAAGAAATGAAACATTAATTTTATCCATATTGTATCATATTATATCGACTACAATAAATTTTTGTATTATTTATAAAATTAAATATATACATAATTTTTAATATTTTTTTTAAAGATAATTATACAAATTATATGTTTAACATTATGTATTTGTATAATACATTCAGAATATTTTATATTCAAATAAACATTATAGAAAACATATTATAGAAAAACGTTTTATAATACAAATTCATTCGATTAAATGTTGAAATGATATTTAATAGAGAAAAATGGTACACATCATATTTAAAAATGTTAATTACTATGTGCTATAGCCACAAGTATTTTGCCTGCATATTATCCTTAATAAAAAAAAACATGTCTATCAAGACAATTTGTAAAAAAATAATATTGTTGTTACTTTATTATTAGCGTACACAGACAAAATTTTGTTTTCATCTATTAATCTATTAATATAAGGTACTGAGGAAAAGAAGGATCAAAGACTCTAATCATGTTATTATTATTATTATCAATGAATAAATTAAAATTTTTAGAAAATCAACTGATACATGTTTAAGATTATTATCAAAGAAAAATTCTAAGTTGTGTGCATGTTTTGTGTTGTGTATAGTATTCATTGATGTCTTTGTCAACCAATATTATTTTATTGTTAAAACATCATACACAAAAAATCGATCGATACCTGTTTGCAAGGATCCAAAACAATATAATATTATCAAATAATAATACTTTAATACATATTTAATTTCAAAGTATTTTATCTAACATAATAATGAATAAAAAGAATTATTACACAATTTTGAACCCTTGCCTTTTTCAATAATCTGTTCTCTCGTATCAGAGAATAGATACAAATTTAAATTATAGAGCAAATTCTAAGAACATAAACACACCAATATTTATACTCACTATTGTTAGCCAAAAGATTTTCATGGAGCTTATCTCTCTGATCTTCTAAAACTTCTCCCAGATATGTTGCCACCTTACGTGTTACTTGTTCAACATAAGCATCGAGTTTTCCTAGATCATCTGATAAACCAACCAGTTGGTCCAATGTTCCCACCTTTAAGTCTGGGATATGAAATTTATAGTTGACAGATAAAGAGTGTTGTTTTGATGTCAAATTATTCATGGTTTCCCATGTCTGTTGACATGTTTTATCTCCTGGTGCAGATATTAACCAATATTCTGTCATTTTGGATAATATCTTAAATTAGATGATTTAGGATACCTGAAAAATTATATTTTATAATATATCATACCTATTTATTTATATTATATTTTATGCAATAATTTTATTCATACTGAGTAAATATTACATTTTTATATAACAAATTGAACGTGTAATAAATATCAAGTAATTTTCCGTATACGCATTTATTCAACTCGGAAATATTGCAGAAATATTAAATAGTTTTTATATGATTCAAGTTCAATGGCATATTTATGTTCTTATTTTATAGTTAATAATTATTATATAATTAATTATAATAAATATTATAATTAAAATAATTGCATAACTGATTTTTAATAAATAAAGTTTTCAAATTGAAAATTGAGCTATAGGAAAGGTTTTGTCAACAACCACCTGCTTCGTTATCAAACGTTACTAATCTACTGAATTAGCATTATAATTCTACGAATATCATTCGTATATTCGTTGCGTAAACAGATGGAAGTAAGGAATTCAAAATTCTAAACAATTTAAACATTCATAAAGCTTAAAAAAATCGAAATAAAAGAAGGGGGTGTGGCACGACGTACTTCTTTGAATGTGGCATTATGTAATTAGGCGCGCTTTCCACGTGACATATACTAAGTGCAAGAATGGCGCGCCGAACTTACAGAACGATCAATATAGGGAAATGACAAGTGTTCGTAAAATTACGTACGAAGAACTATGGCCTTGAATTGATGGCTAAATCACGCGAAATACCAAGTATAAAATCGAATTTATCATTGAAATAACTTAATGACGCCAACTCATTACACTAATCAGTATAAAATCGATAATACAATGGATCTAATAGTTTTCATCAAGAATACGTTTTATTATGTATTAGTTTCGAATGATCTGGAAGCCTAATATCAACCAATGTAACAAATGCACGACGTATCGTATCGAAGGACTCGAAATTTACTATTACGACTATTTGACAGTGATCAATATCTTTTTAGTTGTAAAACACGGGTTAAAAACACTCTCTGTTTAGCTGTAATTTGTCAGTTATTGATTCATTACAAGTAAGAAACGAACTGTTTCTACTTACTCCAGATACGTTGAATTGTACCTTTGTTTGCAGAACACGACAGATGCTTGAATTTCTTGAGAAATTCAAAACATTCGCTGTTCTAATCACTTAGACGTCGAAACTATCAGAAACCATTGTGACCTCACGTGATGACAATTGTGTGCTGCTGTCTTGCGACCCGCCTGGCAACTAAAGCATAAACTAAAAGAATTATCAGCTGATTTAGAAACCATTCGTAATAGCCAATACTATTGCCAATCGAACCAAAAAGTTCATTCGTTGAAACTCCGATTCAAGTGTTAAGTCAACGTTGGTTCCCCTTTTTTAAATATCTTGTTACAAAGAATTTCTTTATATGACATAAAAATTAGTGACCAAGAATTTATATTTTTTAAAGTTGAAATCATACTTATTGCTAAATCACATTTCAAGACATCATCGTCGTATAAAGAAAGTTGGTAACACTGTAATATACGCTACGCATATCCACTTATTGTCTTTGACGAGTTACATAGTATAATCCATAATATTTGACAGATTTTCTTAGGATTAAAAATTGTAACTGTTTTCAACTTATTCTACGATATATCATGGGTTGTGATGGTGGAACTATTCCTCGTAGAGATGAACTCGTGAGAGTCAAGAAGAAACCAGAACAGGTAATTTTTTATTCAATTATACATAAAATTTACGTATTACATATCGATTTTCTAAAATAGTGAAATATACAAAAAATTTTGTTGATTGTGAAACGTTTACAAAAATCAACTTTTTGTCACGCTATACGTCTATGTATAATTATATACAATTAATTACAGAAAGATAAAGAAGCAGAATTAGCATTTAAATGGAGACACTGCACAATTAAACAATTACCATTACAACCACCAGTAGTTGGGTGTGTATTAGGTCGTCTCTACAGTAAAGAGTCTGTATTAGAGGGTCTTCTTGACCGAAGCACACTTCCAGAATCTGCACAACATATAAAGACTTTGAAAGATGTGAAGAACCTAAATTTGACACCAAATCCAGTGTTTGATGGTAACAAAGCAAAAAAAGGAGATTGTTATACTGATGAAAGTAAAAGCCCGTACATTTGTCCACTTATTGGACTAGAAATGAATGGAAAATATAAATTTTGTTTTTTATGGTCATGTGGTTGTGTAATGAGTGAAAGGGCACTTAAAGAAGTCAAAAGTAAAGTAAGTACTTGTATCACAAGTATAATAATGAAAAGGTATATATATATATAGAGACTCTTATATTATATTTCTATTTCAGATATGTCATCAATGTCAACAATCTTTTACTGAAACAGATATTGTTATTATAAATGCGGAAGGTGATGATCTTAAATTAATGGAGGAAAATGCGGCATTACGTAAGACAGCCAAAAAAAAGTGTAAGAAACAAAAACACAATGAGGATAATCAAACGCAAGATGTTACACAAGAGGAAGTACTCAAGAAAAAATTGAAAAAAGAAGATAGAAATAGTACTATTAAAGTTAATAGTAATAGAACTGAAGCTGAAGATCCAGCTTATAAAAAGGTTAAAGACAATTACAGTGTTGCTAAAGATCCCAAAGCATCAGAAGTATTTAAAAGTATTTTTACTACTCATAAATCTGCAGCAGAACAAGATAGGGCACATTGGATTACATACAATCCATTTTACAATTAAAGTGTAATTTCAATATGAATGTTCTAAAAGTAATTAATTATTAACATGAAATTATTAATTTGAAAATATACTTAAAAATAGTTATATATTGTAAACACTGAAATCGTGTCTGTATCATTAAATAAATAGTTTTATATATAAAAACAATTTTATTTATGGAATATTTCATAGTCTATATTACAAAGTAGCAACATTTTTGGGCTAATATTACATTACTACTTGTTTGTAACAAAAATGGATGATGATGTCATACAAAATTATCTATCTAAAAATCTAGCAATTACAATCACAAGTTACTAAGATAATATATTTTTTGTTTATATATTTGTTTATCTAAAGCAACTGAATCTTCTATTAATTAAAATATTAAAATGTTTGGAAAAATATAAACATATAAAATATTGTCAATATTGAATCTAAAATGATATTTTTATAATTTATCGTGCAAATTTATATGTACTTTATTCCATGCATTTCACTAATATATCTTAATATACATATGTTTTTATTTGTATTTTACTTTTATTTTTTATTTATGATTTATTTGAAAGAAATAGTAAAGTAATCCTCTATCTTATGTTCGTATACCAACAGAAATTTACGCTATTCAAAATTAATTAACAACAGATAAAATTTCTCAAAATAATTTATATAACTTTTAAATTTATATTGAGTACTATATATTTAAAGGCACATAATATAGTTTGTTATATCTTAAGCGTTTACCACAGATAATTGAACATTATCTTGCATTAGTTGAAGGTTTGTCACATTTGAGGCACTCTGCGTAGAGAAATTGTTTGAATAACTCTGCGTAATCTACCAACTGTTCGTTTTCTTCGAGAATGCCTTTTTGTTATTAAGCAATTCCATCGATTTAATAAGTAGAAAAAAATACTTCCTACAATTATTATTCCTGCCATGTAACTCCACTTACTTGTAAGTATTATGCTATTATCTTGATCATTTTGTTTTAATTCATCAATATTATTTCGCTCTGCGTTATGCACTGTAGGAATATTTGCACCTCCAACACGTCTTCTGAGCCACAATGGACTTGAATCTTGTAAAACTGGATTTATAGCAACTATTGTGTCTCCAACAGATAATAATTTTTGAGGTTTATAAAGGTTTCTGTAATAGAATCAAAGTTATAATGTAATATATTGTTTATCGAGTGCAATTTAATAAATTATTAACTTACATGGGAACAGATTCATTTAAAGGTTTTGGAATAGCAGGAGTAATAGTAGGGCAAGATGGAAGTGGTCTAATATGACCAGCATTAGTATTTTCAGGCAGTAACACTTTACTATGACGTTTCAAATAACTTCCTTCCATACGTTGTGGTAATTCATTACTGTCTAAAATACTAGATTTCTCAAGAAGTTTCGTCTTAGTTTGACTTTCGTCTGTAAAAACAGTTGCGATATGTCCCGTTGTTGTATATTCCAATATAGCATCGAGCATCCAGAAACAAGCTAAAAATAACATTACTTTTCTTTAAATTAAAGAAAATAATATAATTATTAAATTAAAAATTTTATTCAACATACGTTTCTGTAAATGGCTGTCATCAATGCAATTTGAATCACCATATACTACAATTCTGCCTGATACAATATTTGATTGATCTTTCATATTATTTTTTTCTATATTTTCTTTCTCCATTATCTCGTTTTTATTGTAATTATCATTATACATTTCCCTATTTACATGACTATTAGTTTGGAAAAGTCCAAGAATTGGCACAGCCACTGTAGATTTTGATTCCGATTCAAGCAAAAGTTCTTGTCCTTGATCATGTAATTCTGCATAAAGAATAACTCCATCTTTTGGAAATCTTGATAAATATAAAAATTTTAATTCATTATTAACACCGATATAAAATAATTTAAACTTTTGTTTATATAGATTTATTACATTACATACCGAGTAATTGTAGTACCAGAAGCAAAAGTTACAGGTGGATGTTGACCAAGAGTAAATTGACCATTGCGTACTTGATCACCAAATGCAATTCCCCAGTTAGAATATAGTAAATCATTCAAGGCTGGTACATTTGCACCTCCTGTATCTGGTATCCACCATTGCCGAGTATTCTCATCATAAAATTTTACTTTCCTCATAACAGTAACGTTATACCAATCTGCAAATATGACTACAGAGAGACCTTCTTCTTCTACATCTCTTCTTAATTTAGTTATCTGAAAATTATTGGAAATTTATTGTAAATTTAATTAGATATTAGGAGAAAATATTATTGAATATCACATAATATTACTTCTTCAGGAAAGAATTCTTCTTCACTATCGACAATGAGTAAAGTACCATAATTTTTGGCATTAAAACAAGTGAATGGAGCACCAAGTACTTCTAAATAATAACCAGCATTACGTAAATGCTGATACATATCTTTGAAATTAGTATGAATATGATCGCCATTCCAATCAAGTGGATCATTTTTCACACGTAAATCGTCTCGTGGGAAGTATCCCGGGGGATAACGCAGATTGTGAAATTGATCCCATAAAATACGTTTACTATTAAACAAAAATCATTCAATTCAATTCAATTACATCATAGAACTGTATACTACTAATTAAAACTTTTTTTCTATACTCACTGACGAGGAGGCGAAGGAATAACTTTTGCTTTCAAGGGTAATTCTATCTTAGATTGTCTTACTTTTTCTTCTCCATTACTCGGTGGTGATTCAATTGTAATGGATATATGACCTATATATATATAAATTAAGTTTTAATATAATAATTTGTCTAGACTATCTAAGATATTAGAAACATAAATGACTATGACTATCTGAAGACTATCTAATATGTTAGAAACATAAATGAAATTAAATAAAATAATTTAAACCTTGTGCTATGCCTTGCCAACCACGAGCTGATGATGGAACTGTTATAGCAACTGCTAACCATCCAGACCATGGCCAAAGAACATCACTGTAAGTTACTGATACATCAATCCGCTCACCGTTACCACTGCCGGTATACGGATGCCATACAAGCTCTGTTACATGACCAGATACTCCCAAGCCATTTATTATAGTTATATTTACAATTGTAGGCATACCAGTATGATATACAGCTTGTGTACAGTATGGCCACATATACTGACATTCAGTTAAGTCTATATAGCTAATAATATATCATATTATACTACAAATCATAATTAATATTAAGGTAATGAGTTGTATCCCGAGTAATTACCTCGGGCTTAATGTAGCGATCGGTGTATATGATCGTAGGAAATGAAATGCTCGTAAAAGATCCAACTTTCCAGCACCTTGTTCAAACATTCCAACTCCTGATAAACGACGTGCAGAAATAAGTAATGCTTGCTTCATACTTGCTGGAGTTATCTGAAATAATAATTTTCTTATAAAATTTTTCTTATAAAATAATTTTCTAATAATTTCTTATAAAATTTATATTTATTTATATATAATCAAGAAATAAATATACAAAAATGCAAAGATTTGACATATAATTACTTTTTGTTTAACAGATTGAGATCCATCTGCTTTTACAAACCCACTGGCTAAAAGAGCCACAGCTCCAGCAACAACAGGACTAGCAACTGAAGTTCCAGATAAGGTTCTACAACCTGTTTGCAATGCAGAACCTCGCACACCTGATCCATATGTAACTAAATCAGGTTTTACTCTTCCATATCCTGATGGTAACTCCCACGTTGTCATACCACGTGATGAAAATCTTGCTATTTGATCCTCCCAATTAATTCCACCTACTCCAATGACATCCATCTGATCCGCAGGATTATTTAAGGTACTATATTAAGTACAAAATTAAATTTATTGATGTATCATAAAATTAAGAAAATTAAATATGAAAAAAATATTTAATTCCTTACCCATATAAAGGTCCATCATTACCAATTGCAGAAACCATAATTACACCATTTGCTGTTAATTCCCATACTTTATCAACAAATGGATGGTCCATAAAGTCTGGTCCTCCAATACTAAGATTCAATACCGTAACTTTTGTAAGAATAGCATAGTTGAATGCATCCAAAAACCATGATGTATATGATACCTATGAAAAACAAGAAACTTTTTGATGTTTCAAATTAAGTAAAAAATAGATATATACATACATAATAGATATAAACATACCTGGGTATTAGTAAAAACACGAAATATGTGAAGTTCAGCATCTGGTGCAAAACCAAGACAATCTATACAAGATGATGCAATAACTCCAGCTACAAATGTGCCATGACCTAGACCATCTTCTAGTGTCTTCTCATTTGTCCAATTTGAACGTTCTTTAATTTTTTTAAAATGTGGATGACTAGCTGCTAGTCCTGTATCAAATATTGCTACCTACCAATAATTATTTTATATATAGTATTACTTCAATATACATATATATTATATACAATATATATATGTATTATATTGTATATAATATATACATATAATATTACTACAATACATATATTTTCTTATTTTAATTTAATTAATTATTTAACTAATCAAAATACACGTATTTTGCTTAGCTTTTCATTTGAATTTTTTAAAACATATATATATATATATATCTCAAGTGAAGCTACCTTGACTCCATTTCCAGTAACACCCATACCCCATAGAGCATCAGCTTGGAGTATACTTGTAATTTGTCTTGGTATAGCTCTTAATAATCTACGCGATGTATGACGATTAGTTGATTGCCAAAACTGATTGTTCTGAAATTCAATTTCAACAATGATAAATAAAATCGCTACATTCTCAATCTTAACAAAATAAAATGTTTAGTAACTTACATAATTATTAATTTTTCTTTTGAAATTTTTATATTCTGGAAAATCTGCATCTTCTGATGCATTGATAAATTTTAAACTTCTTTGTACAAGCCTCTGAGGAGTTACTCTTCTAATGAGAGGATGATCAGTTAAAGCATCAAGACCATTATATTTATCTGTTTCTTCCAAGAGGACAACATCAAAGTCACTTGGATAGTTGCTAGCTAAGTTGTCACGAAATAAAATTTTCCACTTATGGATACCAGATGAATTTAATGCAGCTTTTATGTAATTCTCACGTGTATGTGGTTTATAATAGCCTTTAAATGCAACAATGTACTCATTTTCAACAATTCTGCTAACAAAATGAACTTTTACTTGTGCAAGGCCATTGTCATGATTTGGTAATTTAGGTATATTATTAAGTTCAGAGTTTATAGAATTATTATTTTCTAATGAGTTTACTTGATTATGAGATGATTCAATCACAATATTAAGTAGTAATAACAAAGAGACATATAGCCAACATGTATGTGGCTTCATACTATTAATATCAGCTGAAAAATAAGCAAGAAAATTAATATAATATGTCATATATAACTGTTAAATAAAAAAATGAATATCCAAAATGCAGAATAATTTATTTGTGCTATAACACAATATAATTTAAAATAAATTATTTTAAAATAACATTGCAAAGGATAACAGAAGAAAATATTTTTAAAATTTTAAGTCTGAGCTATTATATTTTTATTTATATTTGTACATTAAATCGAAGACTAAAATAACTTATAATATTTCTGTTTATATGATTTTAATTGGAGTTCATGCATATTATACTTTGTAAAACTTACACGTAGTAGAAAGACATAATTTATTAAATTGTATTTTCCTCGTCCATACTTTTTTTTAATGTTTCAAACAATAATAAGGTAATATAGTAATTTCTTATTTAATATTTAAGAAATCGAAAATGACATAAAGACGTTTTTTTTATTGTTAAAATCTTGTTTTGATGTCATAACCTCAACGTTCTTAAAATAAAAATCCATTCCAAATGAAAAATCAAAGTTTTCACAGCATGCATTTTTGTTTAATGTTTTCACGTCCCTTACTTCTCTGTGTTACATCTTATATACTTTATTATATATAAATCGTATCAATGAACAACGAACAAACAAATCATAATATAGTTTACTATCGTATTGTTTACAGAACTTCACATTATAGAGTGATGATGTCAATATCGTAAAAATAAGTTGTTATCTTGTGTAGATATAAAAATAAAAGTGTATTAATTGTATATTCGAGATAAATGTATATTTATGAAGTTACATTTGTGCAAGGAACGTAATATTTATCGCGCAAACTTGAATGAAAGGTAAACAACTTATGCGGTAACTTAACCTTTAATATATATTTACTTTTTATAAATTAATTATAATATATGATATAAGTACGTGGATATTAATACGTATAGATTACTGATAATATTATTTAAATAGTGTTTTAATGACGTGACATTAATGGAATATGTATATTTTATTTATATAAAATAATACATGTATAATTATATAACTGCATATTTTGTATTTATATAAAATTAACATCTTTTATGTAAATACACAGTTACATTAGTTTAGTCTTTCATTTATTTTAGTGTTCTCTGTGGCGTGATTGAAAAGTGAATAATTTAGTGCATATAATAATATAGATTAAAAATTCATGGACAAAAACATGTCATTCAATGATAAAAGTGCAATAGCACCTGTGATTATAGAAGAACTAGATGAAAATGCTTTATGCAACATGAACGTCGATATGGCAGAATTTATTGAAGCAAAAGCTTTGGAAATAAAAGATGTATCACAAAATGTTATATCAGATGTTTATTCCAATCAATGTAGTTCTGCTATGGATATTAATGCAGAAGTAGAAGATCATGATATATTAATAACTGCAGATGAAGAAGACCAATTGACAAAACAATTTTTAAATGGAGAGTTAACGTTCTCTGAGTATTCTTCTAGAATGGATCAAGATGTGGATTTAGAAACTGCAGAATTTGACATTCCTAGGTAGCAGCTTAATATGGAATTTTATTCTTTCATAAAATGAATTCTATTCTCTAGTAAATGAACTGTTTTAGAAATGATTTAGAAAATGAAGAAACAGAAACAAATAAAACAGTTCAGTCCAAAACATCAAAGTCACAAAGTGGAGGGCAAGTACGTTATAAACGAAAAAAGAGAACACTTCCTCCTGCTCTGCAAGGTCTTATGGGTGAAGCAAATTTAAGATATGCTAGAGGAGATACAGAATTAGCTGCACAGATATGTATGGAGATAATTAGGCAAGTGTATTTTTCCCAAATGATAACATATCACTTCTAATAATAAATAAAGCGACATAAATTCTTTAATTTTTCTATAGACAAGTACCAAGTGCTCCAGAACCATTTCATACATTAGCAATGATATATGAAATCGATCAACCAGAAAAGTCACTACAGTTTGCTCTGATAGCGGCACATCTTAGTCCAAAAGATGCAGATCAATGGGTGAGATTGGCCAATATGTCTTTGGAAAGTGAAAACATAAAACAAGCTATAACATGTTTTAACAAAGCAATTCAGGCAAATCCAAAAGATATAACTTTATATGAAACACGAGCACGACTTCTAGACCGCAATGGAGATAAAAGAGCTTATTTAAAAGGATTTTTAAAATTAGTTCATCAGTTGGACCCCGAAGATGGCCAAAACATAATTAAATATGCTAAAATGTTAGCCAAACGATATATGGAAGAGAACAATAGTGAACAAGCACTAGAGGCAATGGAGAATATTTTTTCAAAATGTCCTAGTTTCATTACCTTAGAAGAAGTCAATATTATGACAGAAATATTAATAGCATTGAAAAAATTTAAAAGATGTTTAAATATTTTAACCACATATACTAGTATTTGGGTAAAATATAAAACTGAGGATACACAAGGACCTCATTTAATAACAAAAAAATCTGGAAATGAGAAGAAAGAAGAATTAGAAGATCAGAATATATGTGAAATAGATTCTTGTGGAATACCAGATGATGTAGTTGTTGATTTGAAGGCGAAATTTCTTATAACACTTATTGAGTTGAATCAGATGAAATTAGCTGAGAATCTTTTACCCAAATTTTACTTTTATGAAAATCCAGAAATTTCTGGTGATCTTTTTTTGGATATAGCAGAAACTTTAATGGGAAAAAAAGAATTTAAACAAGCTTTAATGTTATTAGAACCTTTAGTCAATAGTAATAATTATAGCTTAGCAGCAGTATGGCTACGACACGCAGAATGCTGGGTCGGTTGTAAAGACCTACAAAAAGCAATAAAATCATATGAAGTCGTTAGACAATTATCACCTCAACATTTAGGTGCAAGAACTGCATTAGCTAAGTTGTATCAATTGAAAGGCCAATATAATAAAGCAATAGAAGTTCTTCATCAAGATCCAGAGTCAGATACTTTAGATCCTCAAGTAATATATCAGAGGACATTACTCCTTTTTAAAGTAAAAAGATACGATGAATATTTTCAGTCTGGCATGTTACTCTTCTCTAGACATTGTGCAAATATAAGAAATAAAGTTGAATTAAATGCATTAACTAGAGCATACGTAGTACGTCAACGTTTGGAAACATTACAACTTCATCGATTATCCCGCGGCGAAAAACTTGAAGAAGAAAATGCACCATCGTTTTTAAATAATACAGAATTAAATGAGAAGAAAGAATTTCTCTTACTTTTGCAAATGTGTAAACTAGCTTGTATATTAAAGAAGTATGGGTTCCTACAAAGAATCTGTTTTAGTGCTTTAACATCAAAAAGATTTGAAAAAAGAAATTCCCATATCATGTTTTTATGTTTACTTTCGTGTATCTATAATAATGATTCTTATCATGGATACAACATTGTACGACAATTAATACGTGTTTGTCAAAAACCAAATTCTTGGAATCTGTTAAATATTATTGTACAAAAAGCAGAAGATTGCAGACACAATAGGTTCATAATGCGTCTTCTTGGAAGGGAAGATGTGTTTTCGTATTTAAATATAATGCACGCAAATAATTGTCTTATTTCGGGAACATATAAATATGCTCTTAACGATTATATTTCACTTTTCAAAGTAGTACCTAGTGCCTTATTAGCGTTACTTATTGGTGTAACTTTATTACAAATGGCATGTCAGAAATTGTCTGCTAAAAAAAATCAACTTGTAATTCAAGGTAATTATAATCTAAAAATCGTAATATTTGTTACTCAAAGATTTTAGATCATTTTATTTAAAATTTTTCCCAAGGAATAAAGATTTGAATATTTGTTATATTTTATTTCAGCTATTGCATTTTTAAAGAAATATTCTCAACTCCGAAATGAAGATGGTGAACAAGAGGCATGTTATAATATGGGCCGTGCTTTTCATCAAATTGGTTTATTATCAGCAGCTGTACATTTTTATAAACTAGTACTTAATAAAGATCCGGGAGATTTAATTAAAAAGAATTCATATCTTTTAGATTTAAGAAAAGAAGCTGCCTTTAATTTACATCTCATTTATCTGCAGTCTGAAAATTATTTATTAGCAAGAATGTACCTTGAAAATTATATTACAATTTAGTTTAAGAAAATTAGTTTGTAATATTAATTGTATATGATTTGTATAATAAAGACTTAATTACAAATATTGTCAGTAAATCAGTTGTAAATATTCTTTACAGATTTTTATAAATGAACTATTTCATTTTAAATTACACTAAATTATACTAATATTAAATTATAATTCAAGTGATTAATGACTTTCATTTTTCTTTTTTACAGAAGCGAAATGAGTAGAACATTAGCTAGCGAAATTAAATTTAAAAATTTATGTGATGTATTAGAGGAAATCTCAAAAGTACGTTTAACTAGAAAAGCTGATATTTTGAAGCGATTTATTCAAAAATGTCGTCTTACGAGTCACAAATTAGAAACGGAATTTGCAACTATGGTATAATTTTGAATTTTTTAATTAAAGTTATTAATGATTATATGTACTTTAGATCTAAGTATTACTATATTAAAATTATTAATACTTTATTAAATTTCTTTCATAGAATGTTTCACTTTATCCTATATTAAGATTAATTTTACCGGATCTTGAACGAGAACGGGCCTATAATTTAAAACAAAAATCTCTTATTGATCTTTATATTCGGATATTTTGTTTGGGAAAAGACAGCAAAGATGCAAATAAATTGAAACAGTACAAGTAAGATTATTAATATTTATTATATATATTCTTTTCCTATTAGTACTGTGCTATAATTTTGAAATATTTTAGAACTCCTACTGCAAAAAATATTGCAGGATGTGATTTTGCAGAAAAAGCTTATTGGATTTTACAGAATCGTTTTCCACGTGAAAGTTCTAATTTTACAATAGAACGAATCAATTTATTTCTCGATGATTTATCGTCAAAAGACAAAACTGGTCTGTCAAAGAATGAAACATTTAAAGTTTTGTTAGGAAAAATAAATGCATTAGAATTTAAATGGATAACACGAATTATTTTAAAAAATTTGAATCTTGGTATTGGCACGAAAAAGATATTGCAAGGTTTATTATTTATATATTATTTCGTAAAAATATAAAAACATCCACTTCAAAACAATATAATTTGACAATAATATGCTTTTTTAGTTTTTCATTGTGATGCAAACTCACTGTTTAATGTATCATCTAATTTGCAACATGTTTGTGATACATTACATAATTCTCAAATGAGACATCATTATGATGTTCAAGTTTTTTCTCACTGTAAACCTATGCTATTAGAACGATGCCAGATTGAGGATATAAAAAAGCTTTTTAATGGCAACAAAGAGTATTTTGTGCAATGCAAATATGATGGCGATCGATTTCAAATACATATGAAAGATGGCAAATATAAATGTTTTACAAGACAAGGATTTGATTTTACGAATAAGTCTGGTTTTGGGGAAACAAATTCTTCAGGTTTATATCTTATAATTTGATTAGAATATTGTATATAAATTAAACTAGTTTTATATCTTTTTAAAAGTATCTATGATGCTATCAAAAGCATGTATTTCAGGTTTTATGAGCTGTATATTTGGCCAGTTATTAAATCCACAAGTAAAATCAGTAATTTTAGATGGTGAACTAATGGGTTGGCATAAAGAAAAGAAATTGTTAGTTTCAAAAGCAATGATGAACTGTGATGTTAAAAGACTCTCAAATAATAGTGATTATCAGCAATGTTTTGTTGCATTTGATATTATTATGCATAATGATAATTTACTTAATAATGAACTTTATGAAAAAAGACTTGAAATTTTAAAAGATATATTTACGGAAAAGGAAGGTTGTCTTCTATTATGTAAATCTACTAAAATTTCTAAAAGGTAATTAGTTTTAATTGATAATCAAAGAGGTATTTATATATTAGTTAGTATATAAATTATTAGTTATAAGTTAGTATATAAGTATATAAGTTTATATATAAATACTTCTTTAATTGATAATTATATATATACTAACTAATTATATAATTTTTGTTTTTAAGTGAGGAATTACGTAAAATATTCAGTGAAAGTATTAAAAATAAAGAAGAAGGTATTGTAGTAAAGGAATGTAATAGTAAATACAAACCAAATGTACGAGATGGAACTGGTTGCTACAAAATAAAAGCTGAAGTAATATGCTGTAAAATGTTTGTTTATATTGTTATAATTTCTTTTGTGTTACTATAAATAATCATATTTCAGTATTCCAATAATTTGGTACAAGATATAGATTTAATTATTCTTGGTGGTTATTATGGTGATGGAAAATTTATGGGTTTAATAAAAAGTTTCCTAATGGGAGTGGCTTCTTCATCAAAAACTCCTGATGAGAGTCCCCAAGAATTTTCATCTGTAGTATCTGTTAGCAATGGTTTATCTATGAATACGTTGAAAGAACTTGATAAGATATTTAAAGATAAATGGCAAGAAGTTCGACCTGAAAATGTAGTTCCTCCTAGGGTGAGTTACAAAAATAAATATTTATGTTTTAATATTTTAATACTACTCTTAATATCGTATATAGACTGAGCCGCCAAATGTATGGATTCGCCCTGAAAATTCCATTATTTTGACTATAAGAGCAACAGAAATAACACAAAGTAATAATTATCCAATTGGATACAGTTTACGGTTTCCTAGAGTTACAAGTGTTAGAATTGATGATAAATCGTGGTACGATGCTTGTACAACTAATGATTTATTATCATTAATTAAGGTATATAATTGAATGTTTTGTTACATATTATATCAATGCAACATAAATAACATAAATAATAAAATAAAATATTATTGTTAAGGATACGGGAACAGTTCAAAAATTGACGAAACGAGGAATAGATTATGAAGATATAGAAGAAGTATCTGAAACTAAAATATGTAAAACAGCGAAACAACAAAAGTATGTAAAACAATGTTCAACAAAGTATCAAGAAAAATCAATGAAACCAAACAGTTTTGACAATCCGCCAGTTCATCTTACTCGGCTTTTTGATGATAAAGAAATTTGTGTGATAAGTGATAACGATGAATCTAAAGAACAGATTAAAAAAATTCTTTTGCAACACAAGGCAAAATTTGTACAAAGTCCTTCAAAGGAAAATTACTGTATTATTGTTGACAATGCTAAAACGGTAAATATCCTACTTATTATTAATTTTGTATCTTCATTTAATAATTCAATGTATTGAATAAAATTTTTTAGGCAAGAGCAAATCATACCATACAAAGTAAAAAGTATGATGTAGTAACATTGGATTGGTTCAAACGAGTTACCAAAGAAGAAAATTGGTCGTCATTGCAAGACTTTTTACCATGGGATTTGATATGTAGTCGGGAATCAACGAAACGACGATTAGCACAATATTATGATGATTATTACGATCACTATACTATAGATGCTGATGAAGAGAGTTTATTACGTTCGTTTAACAGAATCGAAGATATGGTATTGTTTTCATTCATTTATTTTACTACATCAAATTTTTATAGGAAATTTTAATTTTATATCAAATTATATTTTAGGGGCAAAATATTAAATTTGATTATGCAGAAATGAAGAAAGTAGATCAAGAATTATTTAATAGTGAAATATCTCCTTATTCCTTATTTCGAGGTATTGTGGGATACTTCAGTGATCCATCAGATTCGTCAAAAATTGAATTTCGTTTCATGGCGGGAACTATTAAAGAGACTATCGATGATTCTGTGACGAATGTTTTTATCAACAATAATTCCATAGATCCTGAATTGCAAAACTTAATTGACAATAAATCGTTGAAAACTATTAAAAGTAAATGGATCGAAGAATGCTTCAAACACAATGCAATTATTTCTTATTCTGAGTATCTGATTCAATAAGGAATGATAGATTAAGTATAGATTTTTAAATATCTGTATCTATGTGAATGAAACGAATTCATTTGCAAATAAATGCATACATGCATACATGCACATTTTATCGAAATTAAAGTGGGAAATAAAAATGCAAATGTAATTTTAGAATCGATCCTGTTTAACAAAGAAAACTTAATATATAAGTGTTACGTGTATATTTGTAACATGAATACCGAAAATATATAGATTCATTTTGGCTCACATTTTCGTTAAATGCTAAAGAAACTGGGTACTAGATGGAGTGACAGTTGGACAGTTCGCTCATTTAACATCCCGTTTCGAAATATTTCTTCTCGGTTGAAGTCGGCACCCTTACCGTTCTCGTTTTATTTCATTGGAATGCGTGCAAAATATGAGGCGAAAGGGACGCAGCTGCGACGTTTCCTTTACAAAGCCTGCCATTCAGTGAGATTCTCGAGTAGATTAAGACGAGAGAACTTTGGAAAAGAAGACTTTATACGCGCAGGCACGCCGATACAATGACAAGAATCATCAGATTCTGGAGATTCTCGTCAATCTAAATAATCATTCAACTAGTGTTACTAATTCGTAAAGGAACTTTAATTTATATTTCACAAACTTAACATCGACACTATGATAGATCGGTAGCAATGTTACGAAAAATACATTTTTATCAAATAGCAGAATTCTTCGTTAGAAAAAGAAAAAAAAATCTACGATCACACATAACAGAATAAGAGGCTTCAGTCTCTTTTTCACAACAACTAAATTGCAATTGAGATTTTTGGCAAAGATGTATAACGTGACATCGCTTGATGCACGCATAATGTTAACCATTGTGGATATCTCGTTAGCGTAAAGGAAGGTTTCGTCTACCAGGTCAGAACATAATATATGAATATGACTGACATTCGTGTTCGTAGAAGATCTACTTATAGACTCTTCACCTACGGATACGACGCATATTAATCGAGTTTCAGATTTTCCAAGCGTCCAACGGGACGCGTCACTCCTTTGCACCACGTCCAATTTATTCACGGAGTTTCAGTGCTAACTCGGTACCTGCCAATTATGTATACTCGTTACTGTTGTTGCTTACGTTTCATCGTCATACGATAAATTTATGATTTAACCAAGCTCACGCTTGAATTATGCATTTATCGATGGTTCTGCTAAAAAAAAAAAAAAAAATAGTTTATGTCTCAAATGTTACTTTACGAACATTCTTGCGTGTCTGTATGGATTTTCTCTTTAAAAATAATAAGTAAGTTACTTCTCTCTGAGAAGTAGATTGTGATTGTGATTTTTTTTTTTTTTTT